GCAAATGTATACCTAACAAATCTCATTGAAGAGGATCCTGGTTAACTGTAAACCTCATCGAGTTTCTCCCGGTACCTCAGTATCCATGCTGTGCATCTATGTGGAAGTGTGTGCTGTCAGTGTCTTGGTGGAGGGGCAGCATTTTTGGTGAACTTGAGACCCTCTGCTGTATAAGGCTGGGTCAGGCAGTGTGCCCTTTACATCATGATCCCGATCTTTGAAAAGTCCCTAGTCTCCATGGTCCTCCTCAAACTCCAGTGGGGAAAGTCCTAAAGAATCCTATTGAAAACCCAGACCTAAAACTGGCCATTGCCATGGACATCATCTCTTTTATTAAAACACTCATGCTTTCAAAAAAACTAACAAAACCCATTCATGTTTTGAGTAGTTTTGAACAGTTCCCTAGTGAGAAAGGGACAGAGGAAGGCTAAACTATTATAAAAAGAATGGAAAGTCAAACAGGACAGAAAGAACAGGAGTGAAGTCCACTGCTGCTGTCTAAGGGCTGTGTTTCACCGAGAGCTGAATCTGAAACCCTGATCTCAGCCCACAGGATGGAGGAGTCCGGTGCCAAGGGGGACTTCCGCAGGCTGACTCTCCCTCAAATCTGTGGATGCGTCAAGTTTGAGAATGACAGTCTGGAGTCTGGCTTTACAGAAGGATTCATTCCCTCCTCTTTGCCCCTCCCCTTTTGCCTCAAGTTCTCTCGCTGTCTCTGCCTGCTCTCTCCTGCCCTGAGACTACTGTGACTTTAAGGGAAACCTCATAAGGCCCACCCCTAGATAAAAGCTATGGGCAACTAATGACAGTGAGGGAAAAATCAGTCTTCCTCGGGGATAAGCTCCTTAATTGGTTACCCAATACTAAGGGCTCAGTCAAAATAGGCATACATACAAATGACAATAAATGGTCTCAGTAGATTGTATGTATGTATGTAACGAAAAAGAAGCCATGAGTTTAAGAGGGAGAAGGGCAGGGAGGATACGGAAGGGTTGGAGGGAAAAGAGAAGGGGAGAGGGAAATTTTAAAAAAGATTTTTAATTTTTAAAAGGGACAAATAAGGCATGCTGGAAGAGCCTTTGGGTTCCTGGGAGTCCCTGGCTCAGCTGCTCTACAAAGTCACTCCATATGCAAGCAAAAATGTTATTTGTGTCAAGCATGGTGGCTCATGCCACCAATCCCAGCACTCAGAAAGCAGAGGCAGGGGGATCTCTGTGAGTTCAAGGCCAGCCCAGGACAGCCAGGGCTGAGATACAGAGAAACTCTGTCTCAAAATAATGATAATAATAACTATTATTATTATTATTATATTTGCTTTAATTCCAGCTCTTGGGAGACAGAGACAGATGGATATCTGTGAGTTCAAGGCCAGCCCAGGACAAGCAGGGCTGAGATACAGAGAAACTCTGTCTCAAAATAATAATAATAATAACTATTATTATTATATTTGCTTTAATTCCAGCTCTTGGGAGACAGAGACAGATGGATATCTGTGAGTTCAAGACCAACCTGGTCTACATAGTGGGTTTCAGCACAGCCAGGACTATGTAGAGAGACCCTTTCTCAAAAAAAAACCAAAGCATGAAAAGGCTTTGTTGTTGAGAATAATAAAGTATGAAATTATATGATTTATATATTAATGTAACATAAAATATATACTTCTTCCTTCCCTCTCATGATTCCCTTTCGTGCTTTATGGCCCTTCCATGCATATAAATACTCACATATCTGGGATATGCACACCCCTACTTTTAGATCTAGGTTCTGCACACATATAAGAAGAAAAATGAGGTGTTTACATTTTTTAGTTAAAAATTGGAGTGTTGTGAAGCCAGTGTTCTGTGTGTGACCTGGTGGCATGGTGGAAGGAGACAGCTCACACGGTCATTGTAAACACAAGACACGCCCGGAGTTAGCGGTAACTCAATGGGCCATGTGGAACAGGAATGCTTTACTTGGTTGTTGTTTGAGACAGACTCTCTGTACAGCCCTGGATGCCCTGGAATTCACTACATGGACCAGGCTGACCTCGAAACTCACAAATGCTTTCTTATTCAAAGTGCTTTTGTAGTTCTTGATTTCTAAAGCCTGTTCTCTATGCTTTGACAGTACTGCTATTTTTTATTTCCTTTAAAGTATCTATGGGACTATTGGACAAAACAGGTTCTTAATTCTTCTGCATTGCTATTTGTCTTTTATACTTTAAACTGTGACTTGTATTCATTTATTATTATTTTAAGTGGGAGGCTGTGAGGCTTGCTGTCGACTGCCTCCAGAGTTAGGGAACTCAGTCCTCTCCTGCCACCCTGTGGATTCAGAGATGAAGTGCAGATCATCAGCCCTGTGTACAAGTGCCTCTACCCACTCTGCCCTCTCATTGACCCTACGTCATCGTGTTTTTAAGTTATTTTAATTCCCTCTGAAAATTATAATAAATAAATTAAAATAGGCAAAAGATCTAAAAACAGACACTTTTCCAAAAACAAATGGCCAATAACTTATTTGACATCATCAATCCCCCAAAAAGTTAAAACATATCAGATATGGCAGTAGGAGCCTTTAATCCCAGCACTCAAGGGGCCGAGGAGGGCCGATCTCTGTGAGTCCAAGGTCAGCCTGTCCTACATAGAGAGTTTCAGGACAGTCAGGGTTACACAGTGAGAACTTGTTTCAAAAAAAATTAAGTACATCTCTGATATGCGTATAGAACCTACATTTAAGAGTACATGTGGAGCCGGGCGTTGGTGGTGCACGCCTTTAATCCCAGCACCCGGGAGGCAGAGGCAGGCGGATCTCTGTGAGTTCGAGGCCATCCTGGTCTACAGAGCGAGTTCCAGGACAGCCTCCAAAGCCACAGAGAAACCCTGTCTCGAAAAACCAAAAAAAAAAAAAAAAAAAAAAAGAGTACATGTGTTTGCATCAATACCTACATGTGTATTATATGTCTGGAGGGGTCATGGAAAGGGAATTAATTATGAGAGGGAAGGGAGAAGTCTTTTCAAATATAATATTTTACTAATTCTTTGAGAATTGTATACTGTTTTTCAAACATTCCCCAGCCCGTCCTCTCACTCCACCCCCAGCTAATTTAAAACATAACACTAAAAAGAAAAACTAAAAACTTCAAGATGATACCCCTACATGCCCAGAAGGACAATTCATCAAAACATCAGTCAGTAGCAAGTGTTGGCAAAAATAGGAAAGATTAAGAGCTTACATACACACCAGCAGAAATTTTAAGTGGGTGATCCCTATGGAAAACAGTGCCTCTGCTCTTCAAATGCTTCTTCAGAGCTAGAAGTTCAGTTCCTAGCTATATAGAAATGAGAGGTTACTCACGGAACATTTGTGCATGGATATTTATAGCTACACTGTTTATAATAACACAAAGATGAAAATCAAGTAGCACAAACATCCGTGGAGAGGGTGCAGATGAGTATAACGAGGTTGTCCGGGCAGTTGAATACCACTTGGCAGTAGAAAATTATAAGGTACTGATGCCTCCTGCAACATTGGTAGACTATGAAAACATTCAGTAAGTGAAAGGATCTGGACAAAATGAAATACACACATGATTCTTAAAGAAATAGCAACATACTGGACTTACAGAAATTCTTGATGGAAATTATTATCTTTTAGGATAGTTTTTAATGCGTAACATCTGAATTTATACGTTTTTAGAGATTCAGATCGGATATATTTACGGTAGAACTTTAATGGCCATCTCAGTGGGTTCTGGGTCTCCGTGTTAATCTTCACCTACTGTAAAAAGACGCTTCTTTGATAAGACTTGAAAGATGCACTAATCTATAGGTATAAAAATAAGAGCTTAGGGGGTGTTTATAGTATGTTTATTACTATGGCCATTTAGCAGAAAAGTACAAAGTTCTCCCCTAGGGCCTGTGACCTAGCCTTCTCTGGACTCTTGGCTCAGGTAGCAATGCCAAACTTGGGTTCCATCTTCTAGAATGGGCAGAAAATCCAATCTGAAAGTGGTTGGTTATTCCCGTAATATTTGTGCCACTGTGGCACCAGTGTTTATATCTTGTCAGATCCATTGTTCTGCTAGCCAGAAGAATTGAAGCTTCTAGTTCTGACTGCAGAGATACTTGTACACCGTGTTCATCAATATTCTATTCACACTAGCTGGGAAATAGTCAACCTAGATGCCCACCAACTGACAATGAATACTGAAAATGGTGGTACACACATGGAACTGAATTTTATTCAACTGTAAAAAAAATGAAATTACTAGACTTATGGGTAGATGGGTGGGCCTCAAAAGTACTCTACCAAGTGAAGTAATCCAGGCTCAGAAAGACAAATGCATGTTCTCTGTCATACGCAGATCCTAGCTTTGAACTTTGAGGTCCGTGGGTGTTCCCACACACACACTTGGAATGCCTGTAGAGGCCAGGAAGCTAGTAAGGGATCACTGGGAGAAGGGGCTTAAGAAAGGAGGAGCGCCGGGCGGTGGTGGCGCATGCCTTTAATCCCAGCACTCGGGAGGCAGAGGCAGGTGGATCTCTGTGAGTTCGAGGCCGGGCTGGACCGACAGCCTCCAAATACAAGTGAAGTTACAAGAGAAACCCTGTCTTGTAAAACCAAAAAAGAAAAGAAAAGAAAAGAAAGAAAGGAGGAGCAATAGGACATATGTGATTCGAAAGGAGAGTCTGAGGCAGAGACCTTAATCCTGTGTCACAAAGCCACTGTGAATTCTGTTTTCCCTCCCTCGGATCACTCATACCAGACCTTGGGAAGCAGAGAAATCAGGGCAAATGAACCATGTAGGCGCAGGCTGGTTATGGTGCTTAAGTTTTGTGTCAGAGACATGAGATCTAGCAGATGTAGCATGAGTAAGGGTATGGGTGGGTACCATCCTGACCTCCACGGGGCTAGGGGAATGAGGGGATACTAAAGCAGTGGGTGTCTCTGAACAGAACCATCCAGAGAATTGTTTTACTCACGGATATGTATTTCTCACTTACTTTGGGTGACAGTCCAAGAGCAGTTTAATTGCATCTGTAATTGAAGATGAAAAGGAAATTATTCGAAGGAAGAAGAAGAAACTAAAGGTAAGAGGACACGTGAGCAGAGTTACACATAGTGCAGAGAACTCTAAGTCATCTGTATCCATGTCCTGGGGCATGGGCCTCCGCCTCATGTACGTCCAAGTCTAAAATAACCAAGAGCCAAGTCAATATTTGCTCATTCCCCTCTGTCTCCTCCTCCTCAGTCTGGACTCTTGCATCTGAGTCTGACTGTGACATAGCGACCTGAAGAGGGAAACCCATCAGAAACTGCATGGGTTTAGAAGCCGAGAACACGAATACTCTGCATTAGGCAGAACGGTCTAAATACAGGAAGGTTAGTTGTAGAACGTGCAGGAAGTGCTCCAAACCACACTACGAAATAGAAATACCTGATTGTTGCAGAGAGTAGTCAGATGGTGTGTTTTGGGGCAAAAGATTTGGAGAGCGAACATTCCCAAATCAGTGAGCCCTGATGATGCGGTGTGACTACAGCAAAACTCTTCTTATGCCAGTACACAGGGACTCTGGTTTTCTCTTAGGCAGCAATGAGGTAGGCAAGAGAAGGATGCTATTAGCCAAGGATGGAGGTGCACCCCCTGGCATCCCAGCCCTTGGGAGATGAAGGCAGGAGAAAAAGAAATGTAAGGTCGCCCTCCACTGTATAAGGAGTTCAAGGCCAGCCTAGAATACATGGAATGAAAAAGAGAGGAACAGCTGGGTGGTGGTGGTGCCGGCCTTTAAATGCCAGCACTCAGGAGTCAGAGGCAGGTAGATCTCTGCCTGCCTGTCTACAGAGTGAATTCCAGAACAGCCAAGGCTGTCTGTCTTGAAAGGAACCCTGTCTTGAAGAAAGAAAAAAAAAACAAGAAAGAAAAAGAGAGGAACGGTGACACCGAGAAAAAGGTGGTGTCCACAGCGGCAGGGAAGGGCCCCTACCAGGTCTCTTGGCTCCTGATCAGAGTTCTGCTAGACCCCAGAACTCTCCGAGGGAGAGCCAGTGTTAAGAGACAGTCCAGAGCCCTTCCAAGAAGACCCCGAAGGTTGGTAGCAGGAAGGTCCTTGAGTAACCTCTCTTATCTCTGTCTAGAAAAAGTTAAAAAAAAAAAAAACTAAAGCAGCCATTAAGATCCAGGCCTGGTGGCGTGGCACCCTGGTGCGCAGGACACTGCTACACGCAGCCCTCAGAGCCTGGATCATTCAGTGCTGGTGGCGGCTGACTCTCGGGAGGATCCTGGAGAAGAAGCGGAGGAGTGCGCTGGTTGACTACTCACACACAGAGAGAGCGGTGGTCAAGCTGCAGTCCCTGATTCGGATGTGGCGCGTCCAGTGGCGGTATTGCCAGGTCCTCAGTGCGATCTACGTCATCCAGGCCCACTGGAAATACCACAACTGCCAGTCTTGCTCCTTCCTACGGGGTCACTGTATGATCACTGCCACTCACCTGCAGTTCCATATTGAGATCATTGACCACTGAGGGCTCACTAGGAGGGACACTATGTCTTCCGTCCCCAGTAAAGGTCTAAATGGTTAGCGCATGTTTATGTTCCCAGCTAATGGAAGCCTTGAGACTTGGGCCTCGCTGACTCCTGTTGTCTCTCACAGAGAACACAGTGTGGTTTTCCTGTGTTTGCATATTGGAATGGGAATGGTCACATGCCACTCAGTCATCAAAGCATCAGCTAGGTCCCAACCTGACCTGACCCACGACACAACCAGAAGTCCAGTTCCCATTCCCAGGCCCCTCCTTTCTCCTCATCACTGATCTGAAGACTTCATCCCATGAAAACTCTAGACACCTCTGCAGGCACTGACTGACTCTGGGGTCTGCAGACATGGCTGGCTGCGATCTAGAGCCTCCCGTTTCCTCTTTTGGGAAGCATCTAAAGAAAATGCCAGAGTCTGAATGAGGCCGTCACAGTGTGGCCCCAAGTGAAGACAGGAGGTTGGCCTTAGTGCTGTCCGGGGCTGGGGCTGGGCATGTCAAGAGGCAAGGAGATGACCCTGAGAAGAAGTGGAAAAGGACGCTCAGGGCTGGAGCTCGGTTAAGCTGTTTTTCCAGAGGACCCAGCTCCAGTTCCCAACACGCACATGGCAGCTCACAACCTCCTGTAACTCCAGTTTCAGGGGGCCCAATACCTTCACACAGACATGCATGCAGGCCAAACACAAATGTGCATGAAATAAAAAATAAATCGTTTTTAAAAAAAGACCCTCCCAGCCCCTCAATTCCCTCACCCAAACTCCTCTTCCGGAGGGTTGTGCAACAAGCAAGGTCCTCTCTGACATCTCTCCTTCCCCAACTCCCAAACGACCCTCCCAAGCTCCTCAATTCTGCTCCCTTGGCCATACTAAAATAGCACTATTTTGTAGAGCCTTCTTTAGTTGCACTGTCTGGCACGGAAACCCCCTGGAAATATACCTAGTGAAATTGGGGAAATGGGTTTTTAACCTTTTTAATTTAAATGTAACTCTTCACATTGTGGCTAGTGAGGTTCTAGACACACTCAGCCCCTGCGATGGAATGCTGTTCAAATTGCTTTCTCCAACGCTCCGTCTCTGGTTACTTCCTCCCTTCCTTCCAGCACAGCTTCTCAATAACCAGCAGTGTCTCTTTCTGTGTTAAGATCTTCAGTCTCTAGATTCTGCTAGTCTTTCAGGCCATCTCTCCTGCCGTGCCTAGCTTTCTTTACCAGTTCAGATTCTATGCTTTATTATGATCAATTCTCTGCAGAGTTTGGCTTCTTCTCTTCCTTCGTCCATCTATTTTCCTCGCCATCCCTCCTCCTTTCCCTCCCTCCCTCAACACTTGTGGGATGAGCCCACCTGCCTTCCTGCTCCCTTACCTACAGTATAGTGCAATTTGAGCAAGGTCTATGCTCAACTCTGTGTCTCGACTGAATATTCCCCAGATTTTATCTCGTGTTTGCATTTCCCTTTTATGGGCTGAATAATCCAAAATCTCTCCTCTTCAAATACTCAATTATACTAAGCCAGTTTTGCTCCTCACATCTACCAAGAGTGTGGGAGAGATGGCTCAGTGGTTAAGAGCACTGACTGATCGTCCAGAGGATCTGGGTTTGACTCCTAGATAATTTGGACTGGTAGGCTTCATATATGGGCTCAAGCAGCTCGAGAAGGCAGAAATGTAAACTGAGCCATTGGCTTGTGATCAGGACAAAGACCTGATTTGATTTCACTAGAGGGAAAGCAGTGAGTGTGGGGTACAGCTGGGATGGAGAACAAGGTGATAGGAAATTAGGGATCTAATCTGTTCCCTTTTCTTTGACAAGTGGAGGGAAGAAGAAGCAAAATTGAGTATTTGAAGAGGAGATTGGCAGGCTTTTGGGGGCGGGTATTGAGGAGGGAGGAGTGTGTTGCCCTGGATAAATTTGAACTTGCAACCCTCTAGCCTCTGCCTTCTGAGTGCCAATCTCTGACATTTACTTTATTTACTGTCTCCATAATTTGTTTTTCTAGACTGCACACAGTATGTAGCCTTTCAAGTTGCTTTCTTTCCTTGAGTGATATGCATGTAAGTTCCTCCATGAGTTATCATTGTTTACACACGTTAACACCACATAACATTCCACTTGAGGGACATACCAAGTTTATTCATCCCCTCCTATGCTGAAGGACATTTTGGTTGCTTGCAATTGCTTGCAAATTTGGGCAGTTATGAATAAGGCTTCTGAAATCATGCATGCTCAAGGTTTTATGGGGATGCAAGTTCTCCATTCCTTTGTGAAGATCAGAGCTCAAGGCCAGCTACACCCTGAGACAGGTCTCAAAAAGCAAACAAACCCACAACTAACTGTACACCTGCGATCCTAGCACTGGAGAGATGGAGATGGGAAGAGGATCAGAAGTTCAAGTTCACTCTCAACTACAGAGTGAGTTTAAGAGTAGCCTGTGGGCATGTGTGTAAACATGTACATATGCATGTAAACACCACACACACCACACAGACTCACACGCACACAGTATACCACACATATACACACACACACATACATGAGTATACCACATGCATACACTACATACATGCATACACCACATACATGTATATCACACATGAATATGCCACACACATCACACACAGACTCTCATACACAAATATACATGCATATACCACACGCACACATGCATATACCTCGTACACATATACACACATGCATACACCACACACACATGCATACATCACACACTACTACACACATACATGCACACACCACATGGTTTTTTATTTCTTTATTCTCCACCCACACAATTTTTTAAAAAGAAGGAAAAGAGCTATTTATCCATCAGTGTCCATAGCCACATTGTTCAAATAGCAAGAGGCAGTGTGGCACATCTCAGTCGACAGATGAACACAGGCAGTATATGCATTTTTGGGGCTGTTATTCAGCCTTTAAAGGGGAAACTTGGCACCTGATACAACATGAACTTGGAGGAAGTGGAATAAGCTAGTTGCTACACATAGGTTTTGTGTGAGTCCTCTAGGTTCTCCAGAATGGACGTAGAGGGGTGTCTCTCACTTAAAAAAAAAAAAGTTGAATGCATAGAGACAAATAAGTTGTCCAGAGCTGGAGGGAAGAACAAAAAATTCCTATTTACTGGGTAGAAATTTTCAGCTTTGCAAGATGAAAATGCTATGGAGGTGGATGGTGACAATTGCACAATATAAGAATCTTTCAATCTAGTTTAAAATAGTGAGTTTGAGTCAAATATTTACCATGATTTCTAAAATAAGTCTTTAAATTTTGTAGCAAACATAAAGCCCCAAAATACAGGCCTCCATTTTGCATTATCAAGGGAGACCGTTTGGAAGTTCTCCCTGGAACTGAAACATCTGGAAACCCTGAAATCCTAATGCTCCTGCCCATGGCAGACATTACTAATCCATCCCAGATCCTTATCCTCCAGCACGGAGGCTCCTTCTCAGTAGGGCACCTCAGCGCTGATTTGCCAAGCACCTGGTATCTGCCATGTTGACTCTAATCTTGTTGACCCGGAAATCCTTCTGATAAAAGAGAGCTGAGGACACCGGTGTAGCAGACCTGATCACTCTTTTATTGGTAGGGTTATGCATTGCTGCACCTTGCAAGCCTGTGCGCCCAGGGAAATTTCAAGTTGAATATTCAGATGGTTTTCTTTGATTTCATAGTCGCCCTGGATAAAGCCACGAGTGTGACAACTATGCCAACGCCAATAAACCTGGATGATGCGGACAGCATTTAGCAAACGACAGTATCGCTGGCGGATGCGCCACATCCGGAACCATGACTGCAGTTTGACAGTTGCCCACGCTTTTTGAGCATACAACTCCAGAGCCGCTCGCCGTCTCTTCTCCCGCACCTTCACCAGTATCTTTCTCCACCAGGACTGAATGATCCACGCGTTGAGGGCAGCGTGCAGCAGTGAGCGTCGCAGCAGTGTGCCACGCCACCATGCTTGAATGAGCACAGCTGCAGATGTTTCTGTCATAGCAGTATTCTCTTCTGGGCCTTGCAAGAGAGAAAAGGATGCTTAGGAAGCTCAGGCTGTGCCAGACAGGAATCTTGATCCTCCGCTAAGGAGGTGCACGACCCGCGGGGCCACAGCTGCACCCAGGTGACCAGCTAGGTGGCCTACCTCTGTCTGGCACATGCTGGTTAATTGGCATGAATACATCAACCTGACCTGTGAGTGTCTAGGCTTGTGCCTATCGGCAAATGGGGGCACACCTCCCCTAGCGACCTCACCCAGTTTTCCATGGGTTGTCTAGTTGGTCAGTCTAGAGCAAGACCTCATGATTTAGAAGTAAAATAATTTTAATATTCACTTGGTCAGTTAAGAGCATTGGCAGCTCTTCCAGAGGGCCTGAGTTCAAATCCCAACAACCATGTGGTAGCTCACAGACATCTATAGTGGAATCTGATGTCCCCCCTCAGAACCTCTGGAAGAACAGTCAGTGCTCTTAACCACTGAGCCATCTCTCCATCCCGATAATTCTTTTTGTTTCAGGCTGCCTCTCATTCTATAGCCCAAGCTGATCTGGAACTCAGTATGTAGCCCAGGCTGGCCTCAAATTCATAGTAATTTATCTGCCTCAGCCTCCCAGGTACTTGGTTTATATTCCTGTCTTGTGATAGTTTAAAACTCTGATTTGGGAGGAAAATAGGTACCAAGTCAACACAACCCCACTTCTGGCCTTCCTTTTTTTCATTTGTTTGGGACAGGGACTCACTATGTAGCTATGACTGTTCAGTAACAGCCTACCCTTGAACTCACAGACATCCTCCTGCCTCTGCCTCCCTGAGTGCTGGGTTTAAAGCTGTGGGCCACCACATCCAGCTATTTGTGGCCTTTTTTACAATACTGGACATGGGGGGGAATCCCCTCCTATGTTAAACAGGAGACCTTACCCTGCCCTATCAAATGTATCAACCTTTAGACATTGTGAATGACATTACCACCTACAAAGTTCACGTGAAACACACACAACTGAGTTACAAAACAAAATCAGTCACACACATAAATTTCATAACAATTTAAGGAAGTTTGCAATTTTATATTGGGCCACATTCATAGCTCTCCTCATCTGCTTACTGCCTGTATGCTGTGGGTTGGACACACCTGAATAGATCAATCTCTTATAAAGCATTCAATGGCCTGATGTAGGCATGTATGGTTGAATCCCCCAAAGATCTATATTCTACTAAATTACCTACGATTAGGGGCTAGATGTTTCCATCACCCTCTGGTCTGCACTCCTCTAGCTCTGATCCAGCAGAGAGAGTAGATGGGAGAGAATGATGACATCACAAGGGCACCTATGACACAAACACCAGGATGGCTTCTGACAGTCAATGTTCTCAGCACCTGTGTGATGACTCATCGGCTAGGAAGGAGGGATCCACCACACACACACACATCCACATAACCCATCTCTTTATACCACTCAAATCTACTTGCTTCCCACAGTAAGTTTTCACTACTTCAGAAGCTTCTTTGGGGGTCTGGAAAGATGGCTCAATGGTTAAGAGCACTGGCTGCTCTCCCAGAGAACCACCGTTCAATTCCCAGCACCCTCATGACAGCTTTACAACTGTCTGTAACTCCAGTTCCCGGGGATCCAACACCCTCACACAAACACACACATAGGCAAAACTCCAATGTACATAAAATAAAAATGAATTGTTGTTTTGAAAAGCTTCTTTGGGGCTGGAGAGATAGCCCAGCAGTTAAGAGTCCTGGCTGCTTTTCCAGGGAACCTGGGTTCAATCCCCAATACCCACATGGTGGCTCACAACCACGTGTAACTCCAGTTTCAGAGAATCCAATGCTTCTGGCTTCCATGAGCACTACACATATGTGGTGCACAGGCATTCGTGCAAGCAAATACTCATGCATAAAATATTTTTTTTGGTTTCTCTGTATTGTTTTGGAGGCTGTCGGTCCAGCCCGGCTTTGAACTCACAGAGATCCGCCTGCCTCTGCCTCCCGAGTGCTGGGATTAAAGACGTGTGCCACCATCGACCAGCTAAAATAATAAAAAATTTTAAAGATCTACAATTTTTAGTAGGTACCAAGATGGATGCCTAGCTTATTTAGCCATCACAAGATATCAATGTGGAAGTTAGTGTTGTCAACTTGACAATCTAGAGTCACCTTGGAGATGGGCCTGGGAGCCATCTTAATTTAGGGCAGAGCCATTCCCTTGGCATGGGATCTCTGCCTGTACTAATGAGTAAGGGAACTGAGCAGCAGCTGGCTTCATTCATTACGTCTTGACTTTAGATGCAATGTGAGCAGATGCTCCAGGCTCCCCCACCCTGATTTCATTGCCATGATGGGCTGTGCCTTGTAGTAGAAGCCACAATAACCTTTCTCCTCCTTAAGCGAACTTTATCAGTATTTTATCACAGTCACAAAAAAAAAAAAAAGATAAGTGGCTGAAGAGATGGTTCAGTGGTTAAGAGAACTGGCTGCTCTTCCCGAGGCCCTGGGTTCAATTCCCAGCACCCATGGGGTGACTCACAGCCATCTTTGACTCCAGTTTATAAGAGACCAGCACCCTTTTCTGGTCTTTGAGGGCACTCCATGCTAGTGCATAGACACACATGCAGGAAAACCATACATACATACAAAGTGATAAAGTTAAAGGTAAATCAATATTCAGCAAACCGCATCTTCCTGACTCACAGAAGAGCAGTTTTCATAAAGGTTGGAAATGTTCAATGCATATCTTATCACAGCGGACTTTTTCAAAAACTAAAATGTGAAAATGAGATTGCAAAGAAAATGAATTTCCAACCCGCTCATTTGCTCACCAAACAAGGAAAGCTCTTAGCGGGAGTGAGTTTAATTAAATCACCTTGATTGCAGCAGCTGAAGAAACGTGTCCAGAAAGAACAAACAGCAGTGTTAGCTTTTCAATAACTGCTGGGAAACTGAAGACATGAAGGGGAAACATCAATAGTCAATTTCAAGACAAGGAGAATGTTTTCAAGTGGTTTTCTTTGGCTCTTAATGAGTTGACAGATGCACCAACACAGACCAGCTGTTGCCACCGGCAGGGCAAACACCAGCTTGAAATGGCTGAGAATTAGCTATAAATAGTGTGTATGAAACAAATGTGAGACTTATCTGTTGAAGAAGTCAAGGGAAAAAAATAAAAACAAAAACTCAGCACCACTTGACATGGACTCTCCCTGGAAGTGATAAGCCCAAAGGTAATGAAAACAGGATTGAAACGCAATGCGGGCAGGAGAAGGCTCAAGGGGACAGGCTTATGAAACGAATGGCTTGGCTAGGGTTCAGGGACAGAATGCTTGCCTGGCGTGTGCAAGGCCCTGGGGATCTGACCTCAGCACCTCAAACAAGAGTGTGTGGTGCTGAAAGCCTATGTCTCCTCACTGTATCCATGTCCATTAGCAGGTGAGTTACAGAAAACCATGGAATCTGTGTTGCATGTCACTAGGAAACTACTTGGCATCATTGATATAACCATCATCAATTCCATGAATGTTTGTCAAAAATCAAAGCTAGATGAGCTGACTTGCCCAACCACCCTGGGGTCCCATGGCTTAGCAGTGAGAATGTTTGACTGAAACAAAATTCAAATTTTCTGAGTGAGAAAAACCATTTGCAGCTACTAGTATCAAACACTGGCCACTCCTGAAAAGAAATTGTGTTCTACTTCTTAGTTAGGGTTCCTATTGCTATGAAGAGACACCATGATGGCATGACTCTTTTTTTTACTTTTTTTTTTTTTTGGTTTTTTCGAGACAGGGTTTCTCTGTGGCTTTGGAGGCTGTCCTGGAACTCACTTGGTAGTCCAGGCTGGTCTCGAACTCACAGAGATCCGCCTGCCTCTGCCTCCTGAGTGCTGGGATTAAAGGCGTGCGCCACCAACGCCCGGCTGATGGCATGACTCTTACAAAGGAAAATATGTAATTGAGGGTGCTCATTTCATAGGTTCAATCCATGATCATCAAGGCGGGACATGGCAGGGTGCAGGAAGACATGGTGCTGGAGGAGCTAGAGTTCTACAGCTTAGATCCGCAGGCAACAGGAAGTGAACTGAGACACTGGCAGTATCTTGAGCATAGGAGACCTCAAAGCCCACCCCCCTCAGTTACACACTTCCTCCAACAAGGCCACACCCACTCCAACAAAGCCACACCTCCTAATAGTGCCACTCCCGATGAGCTTATGGGGGCCAATTACATTCAAACTATCATACCTGCCTTCATATTTCTTTTCCATTTTTAGGGGTTTTGATTTTTTTTAGGATTCTTAAAAATTAGCATGAGGGAAGGATCTGGGGAGATGGCTCAGAGGTTAAAGCACTTGCTGCTCTTCCGGAGGACCCAGGCTCAGCCTCCAGCACCCACATAGCAGTTCACAACTGTCTGTAATTGCAGGGGGATCTGATGCCCTCTTCTGACTTTCATGGGCATTGTGTGAATGTGGTGCACAGACAAAATGTCCAGACACATAAAATAAAATAAATAAACCCCTTTTTTTGTTAGTTACAAAATCTATAAATAAATATGATTAGTATGCAAAGTAATGGGCTTCCTTTTGGCATTTTCATACAGGTATGTGTATACATGTTTCTGTGTGTGCAGGGGCACATGTGTGTTCACATGTACATGTATATATAAAAGCTGTAAGTCTACCTTAGGTCAATTCCTGAGAAGCTGTCCTCCTTCCATAGTGTTGTTGCCGTTTAAATGGTTTACTTGGTTTTTTGTTGTTGCTTTGCTTGGGAAGTTGTTTTGTTGTTGTTTCGTGTGTTTTTAAGTGTCTATTTATTATGTATTTTATGCATTAGAGTGTTTTGCCTGCACATACAGCGGCACACCAGAAGGAAGACATCAGATCAGACTACAGTTAGATAGTGGTGAGCTACCATGTGGATGCTGGGAATCGAACCCACGACCTCTGGAAAAGCAGCCAGTGCTCTTAACTGCTAAGCCATTTCTCTAGCCCCTTGTTTTGTTTTTTTAGACAGGGTTTCTCTGTATAGGCTGACCTGGAGCTTGTTAGATCAGGATGGCCTGGAACTCAGAGACCCACCTGCCTCTGCCTCCCAAGTGCTGGATCAAAGGTGTGGGCCATTACACTCTGACTATACCCCCTCACCTGTGTGTGTGTGTATGTATGTGTTATGTG